AAGGTAACATCAGTCAAGTCTAGTTGTGGAGGTTATTATCATTGACACCAAATATTTCATATAAGAATTTAAATTTTACACAATTACACATATTGCACAGGCCCAAAATACACATACATACATATACACATACATACATACACACATACATACACATACACATACATACATACATACACACATACATACATATACACATACATACAGATATACATACATACACACATACATACACACATACATGCACACATACATACGTATACACATACATACATATACACATACATACATACACACATACATACATACACATACATACAGATTGCACCAAGTGATGTAAATATGGTTGTATGCCTATGCAGCAGATATTGCACAATATACATAATAATGATATAATTTATGAACTTTAGGTGACTGAGGTGTTATAAAGTCTGATGGCAGATGGAATGAAGGACCTGCGGAAGTGTTCCTTCTTGCATGTTGGATGCAGTAGTCTGTCGCTGAAGGAGCTTCGTAATGTCCTCACTGTGTCATGCAGGGGGTGAGAGGGACTGACCATAATGGATGTAAATTTGCCCAGCATCCTCCTCTCAGCCAGCTCCTCAGTGGAGTCCAAAGAGCAGCCCAGCACAGAGCCAGCGCTCCTGACCAGTTTGTTCAGTCTCTTCCTGTCCCTTCCTGAGCTCCCACATCCCCAGCAGACCACCGCCAAGAATATAGCAGATGCTACCATAGTGTCGTAAAAGGTCCTTACTAGTGTCCTGCACACGCCAAAGGACCTCAGCCTCCTCAGCAGGTGGAGACGGCTTTGCCCCTTCTTATACAGGGCGTCTGTGTTGTGTGACCAGTCCAGTTTGTTGCTTATATGAACACCCAGATATTTGTACACAGACACAACCTCTACCTGCACTCCCAGAATGTTCACTGGTGCAGATGGAGTCACCTTGTGTCGGAAGTCAATTACCATCTCCTTTGTCTTACTGGTGATTCCTTCCACAACATTCAGCAAAAGTTGGTGATGACCCCCCTATATTCCAGATTGTTACCCTTCGATATACATCCAGCGATGGCTGTATCATCAGAGAGCTTCAGGAGGTGACAGCTGTCCGTGTTGTGTCTGAAGTCCGATGTGAACAGTGTGAAAAGGAGAGGGGGGAGCACTGTACCTTGCGGAGTCCCCGTGCTGCAGACTGCCACACCTGACACGCAGTCGCGAAGTTTCACATACTGTGGTCTGTTAGTGAGGTAGTCGGTGATCCATGCAGCCAGATGGCAATCCACACCAGCTCCCTTCAGCTTCTCCCTTAGCAGTGACGGCTATTGTGATTTTGTTGAAAGCACTGGAGAAGTCAAAGAACATGATTCTCACAGTGCCCCCAGTGCTCTCCAGGTTATTTTTTTCCAATTTATTTCACATTAAAGTTAACTGTAAACTACCCTGTTTACATCAAGAGCTTCACAGCATATCAAAGTACATGAAGGCAGAGCAGAAGCTAAACAGCAGTGTGATGTCGTCCCCATTGTATGAATGATATTTATACCATGAGGGTTTGTTTCCTCTCGCTGCCCACAGTGTCCTGATGGAGAGAGCAGACTCCCCTGTACCCAGCTGTGTTTCCCTGAAGAGTGACTGGTCTATGGGACATCCACTCACTTTCAGAGAGGGACCTTTCCCTACTGATCAAAGGTAAAGGTGCATTTAAACAAACACCGTTCAAGACACCCAGACTCTCAGTCAAATAGCACAGAGACACATACAATCTATGAGGAAAAAACACTTATAATAAATGCATCAATTTTTACCTTTAACAGATTCCATCACCTTTTAGAATTTAAACAACATCTGATGTTATTTAATATATATAGTTAATATGTATAGTTATATATACAGTATAGTCTATATAGAAAATAAATACAAAATAGAATATAAGTGGAACTAACATAAAAATATATCAACCGCAGTATATCAGCAAAAAACCAGTGTCCATCACCGTTTCGGTTATAGTGCAAGACATATACAAAGGGCTGCATCGAAAACTGTCCTTCCTGCCTGCTGTGTCTGTGTGGTGGAGCCTGATGTCACTGGTTCTCTTCTGCTGCCATGAGAAAATTACGAAGCCGCCCTAGTGAATAAAGCTTAATATGGCAGATACATCTTTCCAAACTAATATACCACAAGGTTATTCTGTATCTGCAGTAACAACATGTTTAATGGGGAGATTTTTAGTCTTTCTGTTATATTTGTGCAGATGAATTGAGATGTTTCTGCTTTATTCACAGAGACCAAATGGAAGAATGCAGTTCAGAGCTACATGATAAATCGGGTTTATCATCCATATTGAAGGTTTGTATTTATTGCTGATATATATTTTATTTTCTGTTATGTGAATTAGCCTATATTTTATACAGCTGAATAATAAGAAATTCATCATGTTAAAAGAAATATATTTTAAACTATGATTCACAAGTGAAACTCTGAAAAGGTTTGGTGCAAGTAGCATTAATTAACTGTGACTACTGTATTTATTTTAGTCACTAGAGGAAAAAGCCGTTAAGTTCCTAAAGGATGAGCTGAAGAAGTTTGTGGGGTACCTAGATCAGAATTACCCAGAATGCTATGAGCCTCAGTTGGAGGAGGACAATGACCTGGACAGTGATGGTCAGATGCAGA